TCCATCGCCGGGTTCCGATTTCCAACAGACGGACTCCTTGCGGATGTGTGAGCCTTGCATCTCAAGAGAGGGGCCCGAAAAGCCTAACGGCCTACTACAGGGCCTTATATTAGTCACTTTATACTAGTTTAGGGTTTCCTTATTGAAACTATACTATAAAGGACCCCAAAACCCTCTTCTGATTATTAAGGCCCCTACATTAGCCTAGTGCCGGAGGAAGGAGCAGTAGCTGTGGTTCAACTCGCGCGCAGCCTCGCTCGGAAGCATTTCGCCCCATCGCTGCGCTCGGCGGGGCAAATGAGGGTATTCAGGGGTTTCTCAAACTTAGGGGTACCCTAGTGCGTATGACGAAGATCCCACTGTATACGACGCTTGGTGTCCACATTCTTACACCTTCAGTTCGAGGTCCCCGTAGTCTTTGCCTTTCTGAGAGGCTCACGCTCGAGCAGGAGCCCGTTAAAGGGTGAAGCCTCAGGACGGCCTCTGAATATATCAGTGTGCTTTGCTCCCGGGCACCGAAGGCATTCCTTGTCACAGTATTGACTGTAGGGGCCTAAATAAATACCAATACTATTTTGGCGTTCCTCATTATACTTATAGTATAATAAGGCCCCCAAACCCTAAACCCTTATAGTAGCCCTTATAGAGCCCTTTAAGGAACCCTTTAAAGGAACCGCAAGGCCTATTCTAATTATTATTGCCTCTATATTAGGAGTCTCTATCCTTGGGGTCAGCGGAATGCAGCAGCGACAGCTGAAGTCGCGATCGCAAAACTGTAACATCCCACAGGCCCTAAAGTAGTTCCTTTTTGGGGTTCATATATAGAATCCTAGAAGGTAACCCCAAAAAGGAACTACTATGAATCCTAGAGGACAACCCCAAAAAGGATTTACTATGAATCCTATAAATTAACCCCAGAAAGGAACTACTATGGGGCCTATAGTAACGGCTTCAGGTCTGGTCTTCCAGCCTCTCATCTGACCGGATTTATACAAAAGACCATGCTTTAACCTATATAGTCTAGTTTTAACATCGACCATAAATATAATGTACTATATAATCTAGCCATATCATAATCATGGCAGTGCGTTTGTGGGATTTTTAAGTTGCCATATGATCGCTTTCAGGTTGCCCGGAGCTAATCTCCGACATGGTCGGAATTTTTCGTCGTGTGCTTCTCAAGGTGTGCGTCCCTCTTGGCGGCCATGGGGGGCGGGTAGGGTTTAGGGCGTTTAAGGTTTAGGTTGGGGTGTCCATGTTTGCCAAGTTCAGCGACTGAAATTCTGAGGTTTAGGCTTTGAAGAGATTCAAGCTGTGGCAAACCCCAAACCCCGCACTTTTTGAGCCCCAAATGCTAAACCTCCGATCCACCCCCAGAGCCGTTACCACGCCCGATATCCTCTAAACATAAACTCAAGAAGCCATACCCCCTGCAAAGCATGAAAAGCTACTGTTCTGGTGGGGGCAGTGGCGGTGGCTGTGGTAGCGGTAGTGGCAGTCGTAGTCGTAGCTGTAGTAGTCGTCGTAGTAGTCGTAGTCGTAGTCGTAGTCGTAGTGGTAGTCGTAGTAGTCGTAGTCGTAGTCGTAGTCGTAGTCGTAGTCGTAGTCGTAGTCGTAGTCGTAGTCGTGTCGTAGTGGTAGTCGTAGTGGTAGTGCTGGTGCTAGTGCTAGTGGTAGTGGCAGCAGGAGGAGGAGGAGCAGGAGGAGTGGTAGGAGCGGAGCAGCAGCAGCAGCCGCGGCGGCGGTGGCTGCAGCGGCAGAGGGGCGACGGCAGCAGCAAAAGCAGTAGTAGCAACAGGACTGGCGTTACTGACGATTGTGAACTGCGCTAAAGGATTTGGCCACCATTTTGGGCTTCATGGGTGTGGAGGTTTAGGGCTTAGAGCTTCAGGTTCAGAGCTTCTGCCAGAACCCCCCCCGTATTTCTGCTCGGGGGGTCGCATAGAGAAGCCGTCTTCGACTTGTGCAGCTTGTCTGCACAGACATGTTTTTTTGACAGGAAAAAGCATCGATACGCTGTCGGGGGCGCGTTACTCTAGACATGTTTTTCTGAGTTTCTTCTCTTAGACTGTTCAGATTCAGAGTTTCCGGTTCAGCTATGCAGGTGCTTTATGGATTAGTGCTACCATCAGTTCCGAAGTTTGGAAATACCATATTCTCAGGAAGGGCAGCCATGACAAGGACCAGGGAACCCCCAAACGGCGAACCCGAGCCTGCAACTAAGTCGAAGCTCTGAACCCCCGGGCAAGATTTAACTGCACATTTCAGCTTGAGCTTGGGGTTTTCGAGTTCAGAGCACCTAGCAGAGTTTCGGGGTTGGCAGCCACGAAGGCCAAGGTCCAGCAATAACTTGGGCAATGTAGGCAGGCTTTCGCGCTTGCGCGCTTGTGCTGGATCGTCTCTAAGAGGAGGGGCCATGGGGAAGCACTATGCTCGCTGCAGAGCCTGCCGTACTTCACAAATGTTCGGTGCGCCATGCATCTCTCTGCAGTAAGTAGCATCCATCGTGTTTGGTGTCGTTAGCGAGGCTACGTCAGACATACTCCTCCATCTGATATTATAATGCCGTGATACTGCATTGCTTGCTGTGCCGTAGCATTATGTGTGGCATTTTCTTCTGATGTGTTGTATACTGTACAAACATACACAGACACTATAAAATGAACTTATACATGCATGTATGTACGTATGTATGCACGTATGCAGGTACCCACCTACGTACGTACGTATATGTGCGGAGGCAGGCAGGCAGGTAGGCAGGCAGGCGAGCAGGCATTATGTCATGCTACGCTGCTTTGTGCTGTGCCGTATTCTGCTGTAGCAAGCTCCGAGCCCTAAACTTGAACCTGGTTGTGCTGTGGCTTGACTTTCATCATCGCGCTGCAGGCGCTGGGCCCGGACAGACTGCCCATGCCTTTAGGAAATTTAGGTTCCCCGCACGCCGGCGTTTAATGCAAGCGAGAATCCTTCGAAACTCATGGGCTGTGGAGCGAGTCTTCCTTTCCGCGCCGAGCCCCAAAGCAAGGAGCCCTGGGCGTGTGTGTGTGTGTGTGTGCCTGTGTGTGTTTGTGTTTGTGCGAGGTTTTGTCATGGGGGTTTAGAAGTTTCTATCGTGTTTCTTGGGGGTTGCAGGGGGCTTTGTTTGCAGGGTCTGGCGTCTCTGCCAGAAGGTCAGGGATCCCTTCTCTGGCATCCTTGACACAGGAACCCTACCATTCAGCCTTCTAAATCAGGGTTCCTGGTTGTTTGAGCCTCCCGTATAGTGGCGGTCAATCTGAGTTCGGGTTCTTTTTCAAGAATTTCTTGTAGCACGCCCCCCAACATTCCGTTAGGATTCCCTGCCAGGCCACCATGCGACGAGCCTATCATCATCTTTCGGATTTCAAGTAAGCCTAAACCTCAAAGACTAATGTAGGGGCCTAAGTAATTACTAATACTGTTTTGGAGAGTCCTCATTATAATTGGAGTATAATGGGCCCCAAGACCCTATTCTAATTATCAAGGCCCCTATCTTAACCTTAAGCCTTCACCCTGAACTCACTGAGGTTTCGACAATCTCGCCAAGGTGTGTCCCGTGGAGGATGTTGTCGAGGCTCACCGCAGGATGGAAACAGTTAAGACTCCTACTAGTACCAGCCCAGTACCAGTACCAGTACTACTAGTAGTACTAGCGCTTAGAACACTGAGACGTGGAAGAACGGCAGTATCAACGGTACGAAGCTGGTACTTGCAGTGGACTACTAAGCAAGAACGACAACTGCACATGATAGCGGTGTGGTTGATCATCATGATCAGCGAGAGCGACAAGAGTAGCAGCAGCAGCAACAACAGCAGCAGCAGCAGCAGCAGCAACTCTTTCACCTACCCGGGGCACCTCAGTTCTCACTCTCGACATTTTCCCTGCAGGACATCCGCAAGGTTGAGACACCCACCCAGCTGGACTTGCAGCAGCAGCGCGCAGAAGATCTCGAGCGCCTCCTGCCAGGGAAGAGCCGTCGAGGATGGGGTTCCTGACTCTTAGGTGGTCTTTGGGTTCAGCCCAATGCTGCTACTGTAGACACTTGAAGCATAAATGATTCGTGTATCCAAACCACCCCCGGGTCCTGTCTGACACGGCATCTGCGACGACTTCAGAGCCACCTGCACCCGCCACAATCAACGCGAACACGACGACCCCAGAAACAACAGCAGCAACAGCCCGAACAACAACAACAACCACCGCCGCGACCATGAAATCATGCTCAAGACGAAGACTGGCGCCATCAGCACGATCATTTACAACGATCGCAGACGGCAGAGAGTGCTGCTAGCACTAACACTAGCACTAGCACTAGCACGAGCACGAGCACTAGCACTAGCACTAGTACTAGTACTAGTACTAGTACTAGTACTAGTACTACTACTACTACTACTACTACTACTACTACTACTGCTTTTACTGCTGCTACTGCTACTACTCCTGTTCCTGCTCCTGCTCCTGCTCCTGTTCCTGCTACTACCACTACGACTACTACTACTACTACTACTCCTACTGCTACTACTGCTACTACTTCTCCTACTACTACTACTACTACTACTACTACTACTGCGACTACTATTACTAGTACTATTACTACTACTACTACTACTACTACTACTACTACTACCGCTACTACTACTACTACTACTACTACTACCACCGCTACTACTACCGCTACTACTACCGCTACTACTGCCGCTACTACTACTACTACTACTACTACTACTACTGCTACTGCTACTGCTACTGCTACTGCTATTACTACCACTACTACTGTGACTAATTTTGCATTTAGTGCTACGGTTATTATTATTACTACTACTACTACTACTACTACTACTACTACTACTCCTGCTGCTGCTGCCGCTTCTGCTGCTGTTGCTGCTGCTGCTACTAAAGACAGAAATAGCAGTTATGGTACATGTATAGTATTGACAGCAATAGTAGTAGTTCCTAGTGATACCAAGATGTGAAAGCAGAGGTTCGGTGCTCCTATGTGTTCGACAGCCTTGGGATGATGCCGCGGTGTGAAACAAGTCCCGGTCCCCAGTCTTGGACGAGGTGGGAGAACCCTAAACCCCAAGTCCTAAGCCTCTAAGCCCCCGGAAGAGGACTCGTGCAATGGAGGCGTCCTAGTCCCTACATGCATATACTGGAATATACCCCCATACCCTAATCTGAAGATAAAGGCCCCTCTATTGTTCATCTTTACAGCATGAAATGATGTGCCCTGACGTGCGAGTCGTTTGGAATTACAGCAGAGCATCTCACATCGAGCTATTCTTGTGAAGACGAGTATACTACAATCCATGTGTGGAGGTGCTGCTTGTGGCGTTTCTTGACGAAGCCGATGGATGAGATCGAGGATGCTGTTATCGAAATTTCTTGGCCTTCTTCAGAAGGAACACTTATGTGGGTGTCCGACTTCTTCTCTTCTTCATCATGTTTAGGTAGTCCCGGGGATTCCTTGTAGGATGATTATAGGGACGGTGCAGAGCTTACGGATTGGAGACTTTTGGCCAGGAGAATGTGGTCCATCTTGAACCAGGAGACTACATCAGCGAGCACGCGCTGTGGATTGCAGGTTGGCATCAGCAAGAGCCAAGTACTGTCACGAAGCCTCCATAAGAGTCAACATGCCCAGAACCGAGAAGACCATGAATTAGGAGTATGTGACAGGTCGTAAGATCCCTAACTCCTAAATAGCCCGTGCAAAATCAGCCCAAGATACCGCGCGGGGTTTCTTTCCCAGTGCCCCACGAGAAAGCATGGCTCTTACCCCCAGTTCTTGACATGGAGAAGCCCTGCATGACTTCGACCTAACGTTTATGGCTCGGGGGCCGGATAGGCAACCTCTAACCTTTCGGTGGTATGTAGAAATCGGAGGGTCCATATCAAGTACCATGACGGGTTCGACTCCAGACGACTATCCCTGTTATGGTTTGCGGGACATACTTCCAGAATGATAGCAGGCATAAGCGACATATTTTCACATCTTATGTGTGTACATGTACATATACACACATACATACACATATGCATGTGTGTATATTTGTCTATACATATATATTGTATTTATATGTGTATGTGTGTCTGTGTCTCCGTACCGCCCCCTGCATGACTGACCACCATGGAGAATGTATAGACGTTGAGAAAGTAAACGGAGGAGACGGGTATGATGTTGCCCAATTGGATTGAACACTGCATTTTCTGTCTCGAGATTTCGTTCTGCTAATACTTATCATGTTATGCCCCCCTTCCCACATATCGCGTTGCTCAATCACAGAAATTTGCACAGAGAATGCTGCGCGTTTTAAGTTCCTGTTCGTTGGCATTGTTACTGTTAGGATCGCGGATCATGTATTATACCCACTATATTCTATGTGTTTGCTTCTTTTACAAAACAGTCCTATTATCTGACACTGTCAATCAACCCCGTCACCTCCATGGTTTAGACTAGCACACCAATGATTCTCAAAGACATGCAGAAATTCGTTTGTTTTTTCAATCTTTGCTTGTTTAAGACCAGCAGCATTGCACAGTAGGGAACATCACCATCAATCTTACTGCAGAATTTAACTACCCAGTGGGCAAGTCTTCATACTTGACGAAATTCAGCTGGTTTGATCACTAGTTTAATCATGTAGCGGCTTGGTTGATACATCCATAAACTTTGCCGTGACCATTCAGTTGTCGTAAAGGCATTGAATTTGTCACTGGGTCCACTTGAGGCGTTTACGTGGCAGAGGCTTGTATCGTTTTTGCATAGTGCCCAGGTTTGTTTGATGGTTTCACCCTATGGTCCTACACGAAAATGGGTATTCATCTCTGCTTGAAGACGTTACTATGAGAAGACCGCATCATCGATTGTTCCCGTTTCTTTATCAAGCATGAAACTTTACTCTTCGGCTAGGATTGAAGACTCTGATTTGGAAAACTCGTGTTATACGCAAAATGCTAACAATAGAAAACTTACACACTTCTTAAGAGAAAGGTGTTTTCGCATGATGGGTCTTGAACTGGTGTCTTTTCTGGTTTGTTTGGCCTTCACTGGTGCTTACAGTAAAGAGCCCTTATCAGCACGGCATCAGCAACTCACAACACAAGGCTGACATACATGAGAATGTCATGGTCATCATTTGTTACTAGTAGGTGCAAAGTGTACAAGACGGTTTTGTCGAAGCGACAACTCCGAGTTCGACCGAAACGGGAATGGACATGGCATACGGTAAATGATGCACAGACTTCAAGATTAGCGAAACTCGGAGCAATCATAGAGTAATCATGTCAAGTTTTGTTATACAACATGTGCATATATATATATATATAGGTATATACATATAACGACAAGAGAAAAACCACAGCATCAGTTAATCGTACCCAAATCTCTACAACCTATATTATTTATATGAATGCAAAGTTTAACAAACAGCCAAAACCTTATTGAATTATCTTTCAGAATTTCAACCCTCTTTTAGCGGTGTCGAACAAGTGTGTTACCGCCCTTAATCCTATTCCAGGTGTTTTCGTAAGTTGGCAAATAAGTCAAGCGAAGCATGAAGACCCGAAGACCAGTAGCTGGTAGTTTTCCTCATCAGAATGTGAGGGTTGAACAGCTGACACATTTACTCTGTATCATGTTTGGTTGGTATTGTGTAAGTAATGCGAGTATCGAGTGTTGACAACTGAGTAAATCACCGAAGCAACTTTCCCAGAAAAGCGGACAAGCGTTGGCACAGGTTGTTGATTGTGTTCGTATTACTGAAGTAGGCAGAGTAGCAACGAGAGCCACAGCAACAGTGATAGGGGTAGTGTCAACGCTACCGTGGTACTGTAAACATGTCCTGCAGTCTCTGCGGATCCTTGTTGTTTTTGATGCCTGAAGATCCTATTCTCATTATCAAGGCCCCTAGATATTACATGGACCTCTGGGAAGCCATATGCAATGAGAGCACCCTCCATGTTTCGGCGCTTTGGGGTGTCTGCAGGTTGGAGCCATCGCGGGAGGCTGCAGGCAACAACTGACGGCTGGTTGTTTCTGGACCAGCAGGGTTTAAGAATTTGGGGTTTGGGTTTCCTAAGCGCCGTTGTCGGAGATACGAATACTTACACGAGCACCAGCGCTGAATAGTGATACCCTTGATAACTCGGGTTTCATCCAGGGCCTTAATCTGTATACATATATATATATATGGTATCCCCCCCAAAGATCTACCCGATTCTGTCTGTTTGGAGCTTTTCGTGTGCAATCCCTGCCTATTTAATTGTTCTTCATGTCGTCTGTATGTCTGTCTTACCACGTGAATACCCCAACATATAGCAAACAAACACACACCCGCACACGCACACAAGGT